TACCACCGTGCCCCGGCTGCTGACATCTGTTATGGGCGTGTAATCCCGATAAAGGTGTTCACTGTATCACTGTTTTCTGTTAGTCTGGATGTCATGCCTATTTCCGACAATTTGACTAAAAGACGGATTTATCGTTGACGATCTCTTTTTTGTGTGAACGACGTAAAGACGCTCGCCAAAAATCTCTAACATGGCTAGGCAACTAAGCAGCAACGGATCGAGTTCATCTTTCTTCCTCAAGGGCGGTCCTGAGAAGGATCGAATAAAGACAGACGGGAAGTTTCATTCATTTTTATATGAGATGAGATTCGGAGACCAGAGCAACACCAGTTTTCGCATTATTAGGTGTTTTCCGTCACCCTTCACCGTAGACAAGAGTAGCACGTCTTTAAAATTAAAATTCACCGTTCACTTACGTTTCATCCCTTGAAATCATTCTGAGAATCTTTGCGGCAATTGACTCCGGCTGTTTCGTTTTGTCCGCGGCAGACGGCGGGCCACAGTTGTCCATGAAAGATCTGCGCCGAACGCAAAATGGTTACTTTTAATTAAAAGTAGAAATGAATCCTTGCCCTAAATGTAGTCGAAGGACAGAATGGCTGGATGCCGAAGATACCGGCTACATGGTGATAGAAAGCACTATTGCCTGTGGACTAGAACTCAGACACGATCGCTAGAATAAAATAAGAACATAGATACAGCAAACCAACTAACATGTCCGGTTTCTCCCACTTCAGGCCCAAGTGCTGCTCCGTAATTACTCGATCTGCATTCAATAACCGCTGTGCCTCAATCTTCATTTCGTTCTCATTCATTAGCCAGATGTCGCGATAATTTCGATCTTCCGCTTCGATCAGAAATCTGGAAGGGGAAACGTTTAATGTTTATCAGCTTAGCATTCCTCGAATTCGGGCCCTTTGCAGATTGACAAGCCCTAAACCTCGAGAAAATGCCCAATAAATTAGCAAATAAAGTGCCGGGTTTCATTTGCAGCGCTTTTGCTGAAACTTCCTGTTGTCCAGTAACTGTCAAGAGGGACTAAGAAGGCAAAAGTTTCTGAACCAGGCCAATTGACTATGGCGAACTGTCGCCTACAAGAACTCAATGAAAATATATTTATTTCGATTTTTAATTTTTTGCCCGTAAATCCATACAATTTCTCGTTTGGCAGTAATCCATCAAAATTCAATCACATTTTGTCGAAAATGCCTTCAAATCATGGGGAAGCAACGTTTGTCTACCTGGCACAATTGGGCGATGGGATATAAACGTAAAATTTTGGATCCATTGCACTGGGCCAACACCATTGTGAACAGTCACATACAGAGAAATTACCAGTTACCGAGAAAATATAGGCCGAAAGGGGGGCTGCTGACTTGTTTCCGACGTCACTCCTGCGTATTTTTATCAGTAAAATCATTTTCAATCGTATACTGAAGTGGATGGTCACTCGCACCCTCATGGGCTTTAATAACAACGACAGACTCCAATAGGCAGAGGGAAGGTTCCTGTTTTTATAACTAGACGTCGTGATTGCATCTATAATTGTAAAACGAACTGTATGTAGGGACTAGTATTTTTTATATCAGAAGATGGGACCAGACCACCGCGAGTCTGGCCTACCGAAGCCCGCGGTGACTCCCAAAACTCCTCATAAACTGTTAGCATTTGGCTGGTCTTCCTAAAAGAGCCGTTTGAACAGCCGAATATGCAGTCGTCCTGGGATTCCAGGGTCTAAAATAGGTCCCCGTACCATCCTCAGCGTTTAGTGCAAATTTAAACCGAACATTTTAAGCTTGAAGGCTCGAGGAATTTAAAATACTCAAATACATGTCACGGGATAAAGAGTTATTTTAGGCATGGAACCAAGTTCGCGGAAAAAATTACTGGCAAGCCATGTAGGTTGCGTGTTCCAGCCCCACATGTCAATGAAATGTATAAGTGCCCCCATTAAGGACAAAGAAAATTGGGGATTTTTAGGAAATGGAGACGGAAGATGCGTTTTGTATTCCTTCGCGAAGTATTTTTTAAATTACAGCAGATGGCATATATTCAGAAACGTCAACTAAAATTTTGAAATGCGTTTTGGATTAGAAAGAAATGCGTAGGCGAGTTTGTAAGACTTTTTATCGTGCGCCATAATGCCGTAGCGTTTCAGCCACGCCAGGACATCGGCTTTTGAATGAGCTTCTTTTCGGACACCTACAAAAAACTATACTCGGCAATAAAGAAGTACTTAAAAAGTATGGATTTTTCCACTAATCTTTTGATGTCTACATAACTTTGTTGTCAGAAAATTACGTCCCGTTCCAAGTTCCTGCTCGAGGAAAGAGTATCTCTCGATTTTAAAATTTTAATTTTCGAATAATTTTGGATTCAACCTACAGCTCCACTTGCGCTTTGTTTCAAGACTCCATTCAGTGTACTTTCAGTCCAAGGACAACTATGCTTCCCCCAAGCTATTAAAATAGTTTTCTTGTAGGGCTCACAAAATTTTACGATGGATTTGGATCGTGTTGTATACTCATAGGCAGAATTTATAAGCGAACTAATGCAATGCTGTATGAATGGACATTTCATGGCTTTAAAATCGATGAAGCATTCTCATTCTAATTATATGGTTTTTTCTGGATGTGGTTTATGCAGGTGGCCTAAAAGTACTTCTTTCGAAAACCGGACATACAGGAGTTATTGAAATATTTCGAGATGAGTCTGTATAATAAGAAGTTATTTTGGATATGCTTTTGTATCAGTACTTTTGGTAGGTTTTAACATCCAAAGCTACTACTTGGAGGCCAAGGTATTACCTTGCGATAGGCTGTAACACAAAGACAGACAACTGTCTCGAATTGGGACTGGATTAAGCATTCTACAGCACCGAAGTTAGCATGAGCAAATTTATCAAAACACTAACGTTCCCATCATTTGGCGAGTAACGATATGCCGAACGATCTAATAAACACAGTTTGTGTGAATGCATGAGTATATACAGTGTTTCACAAGTCAAGACCCACTTGGACTTCTTCTGAAGTTCACGAAACATTTCCATGCGCTTCTTGTAGTCCTCTGACAGTTGTTCATTTTCTGCCCTACCGAATAAGGGGAAATAACAATAATTTTGAACAAGCACTTGAAAAACCGGAGTTCGTCTGAGAAAGCAAGACAGGAGGACACATTTAATCGTTAATTATTGTGACGCCTAATAGATGCATGAATAAGTTCACCGTTGTAGTGTACAGCCATAATGACTATGTCGCGCCTCTCGCTAGCGCCTGCACCTACGTCCCAGTGACAGCCTGCTATGGCACGCACGTCTGCCCGGCTTCGATTTGTCTCGTTGCAATTCACTGTCTGCACCACGCATTCGGTCGATTCTCTGCCTGCACCACGCGAGGCTTGTCACTACCTACGCGTGGGCTCGGAGCCAATCAACGCAGCTCCTATCGCTGATTGGTAAGACAGGCGGGAACAGTCCAGAATAATGGAGTAAACAATCTGCAGCGACACCTTTGCAACGGCGACCTTCGGCGACACAGGGCTCGTCGCTCTCGCGGACGCCGCCTCCGCGGCGCCGGACGCATTCTCGTCCGGTTGCCAACTTTCCCCTTCTCTATTCTTTGCAGAATAAAGTGTCCTAACCAAATGGCGTCCTGCTTCTAACAACTTGGGATATGGCCTGAAGTTGTGGCGTACTGAGCGTACACCATCACCGCTTAGCCGCCACACCGTCTCAAAGAAGGAAATCTTGACGTTTTCTAGCTGAACCCCCCCATAAAACGATAAACACGGACAGTTCCCGTATCTTTCTGAAACCAAATCTGGCTGCACTAATGACCTGCAAAAGACACAGCACATGGTCAACTGACCTCATTTGTTCTTCCATTTTTCTTGATCTGGTGCGAATTATGTTGAGCTGGTCTTGCAGGTGTGTAATCTTCCGCTTTTGCTTCGATTTCGTGATCGTATTTTCCTCATCACGACGTTTGAGCACCTGAAAGTTATACTCCAGTTTTTCCAGGTTCAGTTGGTAGGCAGCCTTCATTTGCTGCAAATCTGTCTCCAATTGCTGCGTGATTGAATGAGAAAACGGTTTTAA